CACATTTCAAGATACATGTGTGCGGGATACATGTGTTGTTTTCGACAGCCCGGGCCAAGTCGGGCCGAACAGAGACTTAACACTTTTGACAGACAGATTTATTTCTGTAATTGTAGGCCAAAGGCCCATAATACAAAAATGCAGGTACATTGGTACATCATGTTGTACATGCTTAAGTATATTAGTACAGTGTATATAATGGATAAAACGTTGTGATATCGGATTTGCTTCTTACTTTCTTTGTATTACAGAGGAGACGTCCAAGACAAATTAATGTGTTTATGTTGTTGCAGGAAATTAGCCTAGTAAGGTTATCAAAACTGCTGTTAACAAGTGTACATGAAGGAAGGCATTCTTGTTTAATATCTTCATATTTCTCACATATTGAAATATTGATACAAAAAATGCAATCACAATGGTAACATCATATTGTACATGCTTAAGTATTAATACTGTGAATATAATGAAAACAAAACATTGTAATATCAGATTTGCTGCTTACTTTTGATTGAGGCTATGTTGAAAATGGAGAGAAACTGTAGTAGCGTCAGGATGTAGTTATTGCTCTAACAAGAACCACAAAGCCACTGGGGTGTGAATGTAATAAACAAAACCTTGAGCCAGGTTGGTATGACCTGAGCTGCATTCAACGCATAGGTGACACTGCCGGTGTTTACATCATCTTATATACATGGAAAACACTCCAGATCACCATGATCTCGATCCTAGAGAATATGGACAAAACCACAACATGCGCGATGACAACCACAACATGCGCGATGACAACCACATAAGATACTGACTAAGAGACAAGATGAAATTAACCTTTAAATACCGTATACGCTTGGATGGACAGAGAACAATAGAACCTACATACTAGCCTAAGCAAGGAACATGCTTTAGAAGGGTTTGCAGGGAGAAAAGCATGCAGTGCAAATGAGTATTGCTGAAATAGATTACATTAAGATAGATTAGATTGATGTTTAGAAGGGCTAAGGGTATGGTATACAATGTTGAATATAGAATTATTGATAAAATGATTAGACTTACGTTACTTAATGAGATTGTATATCTCATCAAAATATGACACACAACTTTAAAAGATTCACATGTTTATTATATTTACAACTATATACAATGCAAAGTTGAATCTGCAAAAAACGAGGGCTTCATTTTAGCTGGCCAGTTTTCTTTACATGTGGCATTTTGTAACATTACAAAGTGATGTTTAGGTAGATATAACTAAATTCTACAGTTATAAATACAATTCAAGATACATGTGTGAGGTTAAAGTTGTTTTCGACAACCCGGACGGAGTCGGGCCGAACAGACTTAACACTTTTGATTGAGGCTATTTTGAGAATCGAGAGAGAAAAGGGCTTCGCTTTTGAGGTCCAGTTATATTTTCCTGTGGCGTTTTGTAACATCACAAAGGTATATGCAGGTAGATGGAATCCTAATATATGGGTTTAAACACAAATCAGGATACATTGTTTCAGGTGTGTTGCAGTGAGTACATAAGCCATCGGGGTGTCTATTTTGTTTGTATAGGGTGTAGTTGAGGTTGGTGATGCCTGTAAATAATCTCGTAATGTACGTATCAATGTGTTTGATGTTTGAGTATGTAGGAATTGTTCTTATTGGGGATTTTATAATTGAGGTGACCCAGGTTGATTTGTTTGTGCTGATGTTGTGTTGAAAGCTTGTATTCAGTATGTTTGTTTTGATGAGTTGTTTGATTTCTGATTTGGATGTGTGAAAGTTGATGTTTGGTGATATGTGAGAGGTTGCGAGTTTGGCTGCTGTGTCTGCAGTGTCGTTTCCTGGAATGTTTGAGTGGCTGGGTATCCATATGAATGTGATGTTTTTGTTTAAGCGCTTAAGTGAATCGGTTTGAAGTATGATATTGTGGATAAGGTCTGCATGGGCGTGATTTGGAGTGCATGTTGTGGAGTTGTTTGGTGGAGTTGAGTGAGTCGGATAGAATTTGATTGTGAGAGAGAGGGTATTAAGAGAGGAAGAGAGAGTATTAAGTGCAGTGCAGTGAGGATGGCTGTTAGTTCTGCAGTGTTTATTGTGGTGTGGTTGGTGTAGTGAAGGTTGGTAGAAATGGGGGGTTGTTGAACAGGAATGCCTAAGCCATTGGGTTGATTGATGCATCTGTGTAAAAATGGGTGTGGGTTGGGTAGTTTGTGTTTGTGATGTTTGTTATGGTAGCTGTGTGAGCTGTTTTAGGTAGTTGCTGTAAGGTGGTGTCTGTAATGGGTGGGGGTTTGTCGTGAATGTAGCTTGTAATGGGATAATGGGAGGTGTGTGTTGTGTGTTGTTTAGCTGTTGTGCATGTAGCAGATTGTTGAGGTGGGTGGGGCATGAAGCTTTAGATGTGTTAAGTTTGAATTTTTTTAGGGTGGATTTTTTGTGTTGTTATATTTGTGGGTTATGAGTTTGAATATTGGGTTGTGTTGGGCCCCAGCCCAATACGTGAGTGTGGTTTGATTTATTCTTTGTGTGATTGAAGAGGTTCCTGTAAGTAGAAGTAATGTATTGAGGGAGGTACCACTCCTCGTATCTAGGGCGAGTTTGAGGGCTTTGTATTGAACTGAATTGAGTTTTTGTAGATTACAGGGGGAGAGGGAATGGAGGACCGGAGCAGCGTAGTCCAGTCTCGACAGTATAAGAGTTTTATAAATGTTGATTAGTGTGTGTTTGTGCCGCTGATGGTTCTCATTGGGTTTAGATCTTTTAGGCATGAGTCGACCAGATTATGAATGTGGGGTGTCCATGTCATGTGGTGGTCAAAAGTTACTCCTAAGAATTTGGCTTCCTTTTTTAATTCAATTTCTTGCATGGTTATTTAGGTGCAGTTTGGGGGTATAATTTTGCATTCGCTGTGTTTTGAATAGTATGCCCACGTTTTTTTAATGTGGAACCCCCATTTTGGGGCCCAGTTTTGAATATAATTTAGCATTCTTTGGGATTTAGTGGTAGCTTGTTTTACAGAGGATAAGGGTCCGAAATAGTGTTGTGAGATTTGATAGTTATCTGTCTATTATTTAGGAATGAGTGAATGAAAATTAGAACTCTTCCGTGTGTGGCATTTTTTTAAAAGTTTTTGTATGAGGCCGTTGTGCCAGACCATGTCGAAAGCTCTGCTGAAATCAATGAAAATGTTTTCCAAGTGTTAGGTTCCTGAGTTCCTGAGGTCCAGATATGGTTGAAGAGAGTGAGTGTGAGGTTTTGCAGGTTGGGTGTGAGTTTGTCAAGTATGGTGTATGTAATGGTATCTGGACCTTGGGCTGAGGCTGTTTGTTGTTCGTTTGTTTTTTAGTGCTGATTTGAGTTCATGTATGTTGATGATTTTGTTTATTGGTAGTTCTCTCTTTGGTGGAGCTGATAGTGGCCGAAAAGTGGGCAGCAAATACATTAGCTTTCTCTTTGTTTGTTGCGAGGTCCGGAAAGTTGGGTGAGATGGGGGTTTTTTTAAATGCCCTTAATGGCTTTAAATTTATTCCACAGTATTAAGTGTTGCGATGTTTTAGCCTTAGGGTAGAACGGAATATTTTTTTTTATTTTCTCCAATGGTTTATGTTTGCTGCCTTGATAATTTTCTTAGTTTTATTTCTTGTTTTTTTTAACCAAATATAATTTTGAACGGTCCCTTTTTGATTGGTTAAGGGCCTTTTATCTTGCCTTTCTGGCGTTGATGATTTCTGTGCTCCACCATGGGACTTTTTATTGTGCAGGGCTAAACCGAAAAGTTGGAATGCATTTTTCTGTAATGTCTAGAATGGCGTTTGTGAGGTTGCTGTTGAATGTGTCAATGTCTGGTTTATAGATGGTTGAAGTGTCAATTTGTTTCCAGAGGGTGGTGAATTTATGTCAGTCTGCTTTTTAAATGTTATACCTGTTTTCTGTCTCTGTTTTCTCTGTGTGTGTGCGTGCGTGCGTGCGTGCGTGCGTGCGTGTGTGTGTGTGTGTGTTAGGTGAAGTGATGGTGATTTTGATCGGGCGGTGGTCGTTGTGTACCTCCCAGTTTATCGTTGAACTGGCTCTTTTTATGACATTTTCGGTTTGACTATGCCACATACAATCTTTTTGAAGAACTATTCCCAAATGTTTGTGTCGTTTATGTTAACATACATTTTCCATACATAGTTTATAGCACTGCAATATACCGGAAACAAGAATCACGAGCTTATCAACTTCACAGAATAGGACGCACTGTCCAGGTACTGCATCAATGTCAGGTCATTATTTGACAGTTTGAACTTCAAGGTGTTCAATCGTGTCTCCAAATGACTGTACTTCTTCTTTTAGGGGCCTGTCTTTGCCTCGTTCAGTCCTTGTTCATCTGCCAAGAACTTGGCCATCACGAACAGGTTGGGATGCTCCACGAGATCCATTCTCCCCTTTTCCTCTTGTTCACAATGTACAGTTTCAAATAGGTATCTTCCACCACGAGAAGTCGGAAGATGCTTGTAGTCTAATTGTGCTTTTGCCATAACGGACGTTGTGGAAATGATGATGAAAACTGTCATTTCCAACATTCTTGTAGCATGCATGTTTATGTAACAAACTGAATTAAGAGATTCACTCACTATTTGGTACAGATGCAACATTTCGTTTCCTGAGTGAACACATTTCACATTTTGTAGAATACCAGTGTCTTAATCCATAAAAACAACAATGTTGTCACAACATCAAAGGATTTTTACCTCGACCCAAAGGTAGATTTTACGGGACTACGCCACTGGAGTAGTGTTAACACAGGTACTAAAACTACTATTGTCCTCCCTGATATTGGTAAAAATACTATTCAATTTATTGTGATGTTTACAAAGTCCTTGTTGGCAGTATATTCCCATTTCCCAGTGCTACGCAGAGCGGATTATAGAATCGCATGTTATGATTATAGAATCGCAAGTCCGTTTATCACTTGTTTCTCAACTCACACTAACCTATACATTATTGTATTCAAACTCAATCCAGTCCATTTTCAGATCGTTTTTGCTGAAGAGACGAAGACGGGCATGGCGGCTCCAGGCGTATTCGTGTTACTGTACTTGTGCGGAATTGTCGGGTGCTTCGCCCGTGGTAACCTCTATTGTCATTCACACTCGCACGTACGCGCATGCAAACACACACACGCACGGACTGTATGTATATATGCATGTGTATGTTTCAATCAGTATATTTTCTTCTGAATACTCGAACAATGGTTATGAACCCATCACTAGATCTTTTCATCAGCACAATATTTTCGGAGAAACTGCTTCAAGTGAATAAGTTATTCGACTCATTTTATGTTATGTTGACATAATAACAATGATTCGATAACGTGCGATTGCTCCAGATTCCTGCTTAGATTCGATGAAAGTTCCAAACCTTGAGAAGCGAGACCGTGCTTACGTTATAGCAACAGGTGAGAGAGCCCTCAACGACAGGCTGCTTACTGAAGGCTGGTATGACGCTGGAGATAAAGTACTATTGGACTCACCAGCAGGTTTCCAGCACTGCGGTACTCGTTACCCAATATGGAGAAAAAGTATGTATTTTGTCAGTCTACGATTTGTTAAAGAAATTTTTATCAAATAGCACATTTTCAGAAATGTAGAATGCATGTAGTACAACCAGAAATTATTGAGAATTTAAGATTGTAATTTATTTTTTTCACGAATATTAGCAGAACATAACTCCAGATTCTAAGACAAAAGAACCATGGGCAGCAAATTTTTATCAAAACAGGTGAACAGTTAGTATTTTGTCAAGTCACCAGGCAGCAAAGGCTTCAATGCTGCGGGCATACTACTGATCACACCACCTCTTCTTTCATTTCAGCAATAAGATTTTTCTTATTGACACTTTCCTTCATAAGTCCCCAAACATTTTCTATTGGATTTAGGTCAGGGCTATAGCTTGGCCAATCTAATAATGTCATATTTTGGGTCCGAAACCCAGCCTGTGAATACTTTGAACGATGTTTTGGGTCGTTGTCCTGCTGGAAAATCCAAAACTTTCCATAGAACACGTGAGCAAATGGAAGTAAATGTCCCTCGAGAATATCTGTGTACCGCTCACTGAACATATTCCCTTCAAATACACAGAGGGGCGTTGCCCCTAACACAGATATGCCACCTCACACTTTATATTTCGGACTGTACTTTGGGCGCTGATACAAAGGTTTTTCAGTTTGTTTGGTCCAGAATTTCAGTGTATTAGGAAACAGCCACACAGAACTTTCATCTGAGAAAATCACATTGTCTCAGTTAAAATTTCTATGCTGTAAGCACCAGTTCAACCTTCGCTCCTTTTGTTGAGGTTTCATGATCGGTGATGGAATTCCTCGACTTTTCTGCCAACCCATTGCATGCAGCTCAGTTCTAATTGTCTCCTCACAGACAGCCACAGTTCCTCTATCAATCATATCCAGCCTTTAGTTTTCTAAACTCCTTCGTTTGTTTTTATAAACAAGAATACCTAGCCGCCTCCTCTCACCGACAGTCAATTTGTTTGGCCTACCTGAAACTCATGGTGCCCTACAGATTTTAAGGCTCCTATAATAATGTACAGCTAGCTGGTTGTCTGTCTGTCTGGCTACGTTATGTAATGATAGTTTCGGACCAAACTATGACCCTGGGGCTCCGACCGCAGATGAGCTCTATAGATTTATTTGTGTCTGAATCATCCCCTATCGTATGGTAAAATAAAACCCTGGCGTGAAACCCAATGATGAAAATGGAGCCTTGGCGACTGAGATCATTGCTGAATTTTTTTTAGCAAAATGTCCGCTGCTGTTGCAACCCCACAAGGGAGAAATAAATGAGTTTCACAGTTCAGAAATGTCACAGTTTAGAGTTGTTGTTTTCCAAGGTTGAGTGAAAAAAAAGAGCCACGGGAGGGATTCGGACACTAAAAGTCTTAGTCTGAAGTCCCACACGTTCCCTTGACACCAGCAAGTCTCGCTCTACCGGTCACCCTGCATGAAAGCTAAATATAGCTCAGCTTAGGAGAAGGATGCAATCCGTTTTGAAATAAATTGTGGCTTCTAGAGTGTTTTTCAGCGTCCATCGACTCCTTTATCGTGATCAGCGTTGTTAAAACGACCTATATGCATCGTGTTTGTTATTTATGAGACCTTTATTCAAGGCAAAAAGCCTTGTACAAGTACCTAATGCTGACCCAGTCCAGTAATTTTTTCTCCATTTTATCGCGACGTGCCACTGCCGACGACGATTCGACTGATTTCATTTTGATGGCTTCGACGGGTCTCTTGCCCACGAATTCGTTGTTGATGGCATCCACCACTCATGGCAAACGTACGACCCATTCCGTGTTTCTGTTTGTTTTCTGTGAGAAAGCAGGCGTTCAGCTAAGATGCGATTGAATCTCTCGACTATGGCTTGGCTTCGGTGAGCTCCAGCCAAGCCTCGTCTCACCTGGACTTTGTGTTTGGCCAGCAGTTGCGACACGGCTCCCATGAACTCGCGTCCGGGATCGATTTACAATATGGCAGGTCATGTCAAGCGACTGCATTTGTAAATGCGTTCAAAGGCTTTGGAGACTTCTTTCGAATCTTTCGTTGTCAACGATTCGGCTTCTTTGTAGCGACTGGCACCACCGTCGACAACGGTCAGGGCGTACTTGTAGGTTTTGCACCTCACCCTGTCGTGAGGTAGAAACAGGAGGTTGGCTTGGTGAACACAATTCGGCATTGATATGTCGACTTTTCTTCTCAGGATGTACCAAGGCGCCGGCAGGTAGACTTGCCAGATGGCTTGTTTTTTTTAGCCAGGCTTTGGCTTTCTCTTCCGAGACTTGAGCGTCTTTGGCGAGTTTCGGGATGGCATCCGCGCCTTTCCAGTACCCGTGTGGGCTGTAATAAATTTTCTCCATGTATGTATTGCGTGCGTTTTACTATTTAATACGTGCGTGTCCGTACCCGTAAGTGGTGACTCCGTCGATGGCGATCCATCGTTTCATGTCCATGGGAGACAGTGAAGTCTTGTTGATTGTCAGTCCATATATCCTGTGTCCGTCGCTTTTCAGCATGTTCATCTGGTGTCTGAATGTTTTATTCTTGAACAGGGCTTCCTTGAATCTGCTGTGCTTGTTTTTTCACGACATGTTTTTTCACGCCTTTCACATTTCTGATTTCGTCATCGTCTGCTTTCTTGATGGAATACATCTTGGGTCTCAAGCCGACGTACTCGGTGATCGGTGATCCGTCAGTAGTTTCAGTTTCACGCCGGTCTTTTTCAACAAAGCGTCCCAAGAGAGACCAAGGGAGGAGAAATACCATGCGGGGTCTAAGTTTTTCTGAATATCTCAAACACGTCGGCAAGCAGCAGCACGTCCGTTTTCAAGTACAGGTCGTAGTAGTCGCCCAAATTCGTGCAGCCCAGTTTGTTCCACACGTTGAGGGCGTGCTCGTAATCACCCTGGGAGATGACCGAATCGTTCAAGTTGCTGTAAAATCGGTTGATGGGGGTAATCGTGTCTCGTCGAACTTGGACCAATCGTCCATGTATTCGTTGGGGTATACAGTCTTCCTCAGCAGCAGAGGTCGAGTCTCGGCGTCGGTGTATCAATTGGTGATGTCGAAGTCATCTGGGCCGTTGGCGTTCACTAGACTGTCAAGAGACAACAGCAGGAACTGAATGCTGTCAATGAATTTCAGACCGTCTAAGGAGAACGAGATGTATTTTTCCATGTTGTTGGGGATGCGCATTAGGCTGCCGTCAACCTTCACGATGGTCTGCATGATTAAGTGAGAATCGCAACCACGAAGATTATGAAACACGACTGGGATTTTGATAGTCTTGAGATTGATTTTGAGCTTCAAGTTGCACGCGTTGTGAGCAGCACCTCTGTACTTACCAGTGACGTGGCAGTGATCTCTCACGACATCCCTGTTCAGGGGTTCATCGCACACGTGGCAATTCCTAGCCTTCCTATGAGTTCAAGCCGAGCCGAGACAGACGGCAGCTGGGCGACCCGAGGGGACTGCCGAGACCTGCGGTATCATTTAGCTTCAAGAGGCTCTCGCTTCGCTACTTTATAACAAGTACGGCAATACGTTGGATAGTTAGCCTTTCACCGGAGAGACCCCATGCTCACTAAAAAGTGATTATTTCCTAAACTATTTGACTGATTTTCGTGAAAATTTTGCATGCACATCCGCGAGTAGCGGAACGGGATTAGGGACTTAACAAAGGCTTATTCCGATGCTCAGGATGTTGATCACTGGCTTGTCTAGTCCAGACTCGATTATTTACATACCGCCGCCATATAGCTGGAATTATAACTAAACTCACTCACTCACTCATGTGTTTCTGACGTTTGCCTTTAGGCTACCATCTGTAACCATCACCATTTCAGTTTGATTCATAACTGCTTCCGATATAATTGGAATTGATCTTATAATGTTGGAAATAGTGTTGTTGCCTTCATTCAGCTAGTTAAATATGAAAACAAATTGTAGCGGGCACACATTCGAAGCTGCTAAACTCTTGTCATTCACCAGACACCACCCATACATTTATAGGCTGAGAAGCGAATTTCAACTTGGTCCCATTTGATGAATTTAACGAAACACTGAGCTCTGTTCATATCTGACATTCATAGTACAAATATAACAAATCACGACTCAGAACATGATACATGTTCAAGTGAAGGAATTGATACAACATTGCTTGAAAAAACGTTTTCTTTCTGAGAAGAGAGAACATTTTCAGTGCTTTTACTTGGTCATCCCATATATTGTTCATGTTTCAGAAACGAACGGTGACACATCCATTATGTGCGTTCAGACTCACAGTCAAATCTGTTACAACCAGTTCAGCATAACAACTAAAATGTGTGGCACGAAGGAGATATTCTATTTGAAGACAACAATATCCTCAAGTGCATATTGTTTTGGTAAGATTATACTCTCTACGCAGAGACAAAAACTTGCCAAAATAATATAAGAGGTACAAAAGTACCATAACTCATCAAAATGCCATAATACAGATAGTTTCACTTTGTAACTTTATTGTATATAACCGGGATCGGTTACATCTGTATTTCCTCAGTTTGTGTTGAACAAAGGACATGACAGACTATTGAATGCTAACATGTATCGCCAAGCTAAAGTAATACCATTTTCAAAATGACTCTTTTCTTAAAGGTTTAATTCAAGAATTTAGACACTATCATCTGATGATAGGAAGCCAAATGTAGCACACTCATATGAGATAATGTTATCCTAAACGTTTTTCTGTGGTATCATTCATTTGGTTTCAGTTTCCAGGTCGGATATGCACACGAATATTGTGAAAATAGGGTTACACTGTCTCTGAACAGAAATAATGTTTGACGTTATACAGATAGTTCACTTTGTTTCTTTGGTATGTAAAACCCGGATGGGGTACTTCCGTTTTCCCCGAGCTTGGATTGAACAAAGGATATGACATACCATAAATAGGAAACAAATAAGAAAGCCATTTAAAAAATATTCTTTTCTTAATTCAATGACCTGTCCCCTGCGGCATGTATGCATATACATAATTTACTGCTAACAACGATTAGTATCATCCGATTCTGTCGCATACTGTAGCTTGTCTGTCATTATCCTAAACATTTTTAAGTGGTGTGTTACAAATTCATTCGCGCTCAATTTCCCATTTGGATATGCACAAAATACTTTTGAACTAAGAGATAGATCTAAGATTCTTTAAGGTATATAATGGACAGTCAGTAATATTTTTTTTACCTTGCTTGCAGGTAAACCGGGCATCCGTAAGTACCAACGTTTGAAATTCATATTCATGCAATACGTTTCTATTTATTTACAAGCTTAGATATTTAGCCCTGAGAGATTTTGGCAAATACATTAAGGCATAGATAGAATACAATTTGAAAGCCGATTACATGTCAATATTCCATGTTACCATTATAAGTTTAAACTTAAGTAAATTTAACAAAACTGTAAAGGAACTACTTGGAGGTTCTGAATGAGCAATGCAATGACCAGCTCAGACCTATACTGTGTACCTCATGACAATACAGCCAGCATCTCGGACCAATGTAACTAATCTTGGACAATAAGAAAGTAAGAAAGTTTATGGATAACAACTTCTTTATTATATATGATGCGACGTTTTGGTATGGATTCTTATAACGTTGTCAAGCAAGACACTCTTGCTTGACAACGGTATAAGAATCCATACCGAAACGTCGCATCATATATAATAAAGAAGTTGTTATCCATAAACTTTCTTACTTTCTTATTAGTCACCAACTTCTAAATGCCAATTAAACAGATAATCTTGGACATATGACAAAAGAAAAGGTCTGGCGGAAGGGAAAATAATATGTAATAAACACCAATACAATAACATAATATAGATAATTATGTTATATACCCTGATTGTTACAGCTCCAACATTTAACGTGAAACCAACTGTTACTCCGAAACTCCGTAGCTATGACTACACAAGCAAGCTGGAGTTCCGTTGTGAGTTCAGCAAACACACAGATGACGTCTTCTACACAACCAACTGGGTCGTTAACGGAGAGCTTGTCCTCAGTGAAGAACCCTTGAAGTGGGGCGGTGGAGATGTTATAGAAACACATGCTTTGACTGAGGCTAAGCTGACCAATGTAAACATAACACAAGTTGGATTCGAGGTACATATTTCATTATCTTACCTCACACATAAATGTCGCTTTCTGATTGGTTCAGCGTTCTTTTATAATTTCCAATGTACCCTGCTTACAAGCCAGTAACATTTCAATGTACCGCGCTGTCAATGGCAACTCATTTGGTACTTCGTGGTAGTATTTTTTATCTCGAACTACATTGAATCACGTATGATGTACGGAAATTACCGATGTTTTGCGAATGCAAATCGATGGAAGGGAGATAACTCTAATTCTGTTTTTCTTCGGGCTCAGGGAACATAAACAAACATCGAGGGTACATCAACCCATGCCCCCCTCGTGACCAGTGAAGAACTTATACTGTCATATGCACCTAGTAAAATCAAGTTATTATGGTGAAAGTCTTCAATTGGTAAAACAGTCAATGTTGAAGAGGCTGAAGTGATACTGCTGTAACGATACTTCATCCGATTTCAGCATTTTATTGCTGTGCCAGTAACTAAGCTATCAAATATCTGCTTTAAAGTTTGCCGATTTATCAAGGTTATTGTTCTGCCATTAACTCAACTGTTAATTGTACGTTTTATGATTTTTTTAATGATATGGAAAGTAAATTGCTGTGTTAATGACTGAATTGATAAGGGAAGTTTATAGTTTTTCCAGTGACTGAACCATCCAGTATCTGCTTTTATGTGTAACAACAATTGCAAAAGCCACATGTTAGTTTCATGGAATTATACACATTTTACAGCCATTTTTTCACATTTTGAACTGACTTACCATCTCTGGTTTTCTTCTCAGTTGCGGTGTTCAGTCAGAGCTACCACCGGAAAAGACACAGCAGCCAGTGTTCCTGTCTTGTCAGATTCGAAGTTTATTGGAATTAAGGTAAACGGTCTCGTTGGAACTATTTGTCATTGTTTCCTGTCATCCTTTAGTAACCACAACATAAAATAATTGCACGTTTTTCACACAGTCCCATCTGCACAAGATTGTAGTTCGATACAACATGAACGAAAATATTAATATTTTGATGTGCTTCATTTATGTTTTGATCATATAAATTCTGTTTACACTTATTTTGTATTTTTCTTTGGTGAACGTCTCAGTTCGTAAACGATCTTTGATTTTGGCATGTTCCAGATTGTTCTATTAACGTGAGCTCAAGCAACAAATCGTTTTCAAAATGAAAGTTTTTGGAAAGTATTAAAGTTTGTTTACTGTCACCTACAGATATCAAATACATCACTTGAGCTATCAGAAGGAGAGTTCGCTGACATCTCCCTGCAGTTGACGGTACCATTTGGCTGTGGGTCTGAAGGTCTTGCATGTCAACTCCCCATATTATCAGTTCACCTCGGTATGTTGATACTAGTTTATAGCAGAAATGAAATGAGAAGCAAAACAGATTAGAATGGGTCTCCAGTTAGGAATGTAATATATGTTTAGAAGGGCATCATTAGCTTGTCAGCTTGCTAACAGAGTTAACGTCTTTAGTCATGCGGACAAGGTGTCCGACTTCGGATCAGAAGGTCCGTGGTTCGAATTCCAGCACGAGACTCGCACATGTTATGACCATTAAATATGTTTGTAGTAAGACGGGACTAAATGAATCCGGTGACCAGGCGTTGTGACGTTGTCGTCTTACTGAACCGTGCATTCATGTAGATGACGTCAGATACATTTGAGAGATTGTTTATGATTAGAATATAGTGACATTTAACAGCAAACAAACACATGACAGATGGGAAATTATATACATATCCGTAGAGCTATCTTCATAACCGAGATACTGGCAGGAGCTAAATGTTAGAGGGTAGTGGTAGTATGTTTGTATGTATTCGTTTAGTCAACGCTAAGTGATATCAGTATCCATATTTCAGAGACAACCGCTGATTGTAAACAGGCTAGCTTGGTAAGTTCATCTTGTGGAACAGTTTTTACGGATACAGAATGGGATAAAGCTGCCACAATCAGGGTATTTGGTCAAGTGTCTCAAAGCCTTGGATCAACAAGTACTGTCTTGAAACTGAAGCTGGTAACCCCTGATGTGCTACCTGGCAACGAGTTTTGGGTCAAATATACTGTTGGCGTCATAACGGTAAATCTTGGATTTTCTTATGACATACAGTGGGAATAAATTGATTCGTTTATACATGTGTGTGTTGTAAATGATCACTTCTGGTATATAAGTCATACACGTCATTTTTCAGTCGTTTCTTTTATAGTGTCCCAGGCTAGTGATCCAGCTAGCATGAGGTGTCAGGATCGAGCCAACCTGTGACCAGGTGTAAGAACCTTGGAGTCAACTTTGTGTGCAGACTCTTTCAGTGTTGTCACAACCCCTAGTGTACAGTACACAACCCTGTGCACTTAAAAGAACCCACGAATCCGGTGGTATATGACCTGATGGTGGCCACATGAATACGTGCAAACACCTAGTTGATGTTACAGAAACGTGCAGTAAAACTTGGACAAAGTACTGTGACTATGTGTCCCAGTCCACTCAGTTGTATGATCCCCGGGGAGTTGAGATTGATAATACGATGTGCCGTTGAGATTGACATCCAAAGATCGATAGGGGAAAATTCCAGCGCCTTGAGCATGTACTAGTTGCGTGGAAATGTGCGCTATATAAATATCCAATAATAATAATAATAATACGAATTTGCAATGAATTCACGGAGACTGTCCAACACCTTGTCAGTGGATGCCCTTCCTTGGCACAAACAGCATATCTTAAACGACATGATGGCATGGCTCGTTGCCTTTACTACCGTCTCCGACATGCCTGTGGCTTTGACTTCGAGGTTCATCGATGGTACGACCCTGAACATGTCCAGGGCGTCATGGAAAATGATGCTTTCAAACTTCTCTGGAATAGGCCCATATACAGCCTCAGAAGAATTCCTGCCAACAAACCTGATCTTGTCCTTTTTGATAAAGCCAATGAATTTATGTATTTCATTGGATTTTCTGTCCCTTTTGACACCAATGTAATTGGCAAGATTCAGGAAAAGCATGATAAATATGCGGACCTCGCCTTTGAAATGTCTCGCTTGCATCCCAAGTACACTGTCGCCAGGCTCCCCATTCTCGGTGCCCTTGGTTTGGTACCTCCTGATCTCTTGGCGCAGATCAGGAGAGTGCCCGGGTTCTCTACCGGGAGTACAGCCCTTCTGACCCTCTGGGTAATGCAGAAGGCTGCAGTGTTGGGGAGTCTTCATATTCTCCGGAAAGTTCTTGGTGGATTCGCCTGGGCAGCGTTTCCTGGGAGAAGGTCCATTCGCTGTCTGGGCTGCGTGTAGAGGGGGCAAGGGCCCTGAGCTGATGATGAGCCTTACCAGCCTGACTGTGCCAGGATCACCCAAAACCCTCTCTGCTGCATACTATATTTAATCTGTAAAACATAATAATAATAATAATAATAATAATGTAGATATAAATAACATGCACTATTCATTCCAAAAGCTCTTCGATCACTTAGGGTCATCGTTTTTGCTGCAGCCACTGAACCGTCCATGTTAAGGAAGGGCTTCTTTTCCTTGCTCGGTTGTTTTGTGTCCTTGTGTATATAACGCGAGTTATGTATGGATTACTGCTACTACTGCTATTACTGCTCCTGTTGCTGCTACTGCTACTGCTACTACTACTACTTCTACTACTACTACTTCTACTACTACTACTACTACTACCATCGTCAACGTCGTATTAATGTTTGTATCGCCTGAAACCACCGCCTTAACCATCGAAAATGGCACTTTACAAACACGCTATATAAAAGACATTAGATCTCCGGGTCTATTGAATCCATAAATATGTTCTAAATAATTGTACGTATTTCTCCTAGTAACCGACGTGTATGTTCAGGTTCAGCTGATAAAGAACACAGATCCGATTGCGCGAAAGTACTGTTATGCAACCAATGAACCACACATGCTGACATTTGACGGAAGGTAAACCTGTCGAATGGTTCGTGTGTGACTATTTATACCTGAGTGTGTAACTTCAGTAGCTACAGTAATAAACGAATACCAATCAGGTGTGAAAAATGTTTTATACACCTAAAACCTTCTGTGTGTTCAGAACCTTTCTCAGGAGTAGCTTCCGTACCTGAAAGCTTCGTCTCCAAGCTCTAGAATGGTTTGTGTGCTTAGAGTATGTATTGCGAGTGAGGTATCGCGCGTTATATATGAAATTACTACTACTACTACTACTACTACTACTACTACGACTACTACTACTTCTACTACACTAGTAGTAACAGCAGGAGGCGGGGGAGAATACAAGCAGCTGTGTTATGAATTAACATTTGTAAAGCCAAAGAACTGAGAAGCAAAATAGATTCAGCATTTAATTTGTATTTACTAACATGCAATAAAATACATCAGACTTCCAGTGACTAACGGATCCTTAAATATATTCTAAATAGTGGTACATAAATTTTAATTATACTATGTATGTTCAGGTTCAGATGATAAAGAACACAGAGCTTATTGAAGGGAAGCAGTGCTACGCGACCAATGACCCACACATGCAGACATTTGATGGAAGGTAAATCTTTATAACGGCTCGTGTGAGACTGTATATAAACTCTGTCAAAAAAGAAACGCAACCCCTGTATTTTAGAGATTTTGATCTGAAGTTTTAGGACGACACGGCATTTTTATTATTTAAGACAGAAGTCTGAAATTTGGCAGAATAATAACCCAGATGGGCATGTTTAAAATTGTCATTTCAAAAGTCATCTCACAGACACCAGTTTGTCACCAGGGGGGCGTCTGTCTCAGTATCTCGTATGAGCACCACGCGCTGCAATCACTGCACGGCATCTCCTTGGACAAGAACGGATAAGACGCCGGATTCTTTCCTGGGGAATGGCTCTCCACTCCTCCTGCAGTGCAACGGCGAGCTGTTGCAGCGTCTGTGGCGGCGGCTGACGTTGACGTACGCGTCGATCCAGAGTATCCCACAGGTGTTCAATAGGGTTGAGGTCTGGTGATTTAGAGGGTCATGGCAAGACATTGACGTTGGAATTCTGCAGAAAGTTCATTGTTGCACGTGCAGTATGAGGCCGGGCGTTGTCCCGTTGAAAATCTGTGTCTGTTGGTCAATAATCGGGAGAAGGTGAAGCTCTAACACGTGGTTGATGTAACGTTGGGCTGTCAGGTTCCCTGGAACGATCACCAAGTCAGATTTCTGGTTGTATGAGATGGTTCCCCAAACCATGACGCTTTCTCCGCCAAATCTGTCCACCTGTCGGACGCAGATGGGCGCTAAACGTTTATGACGTCTCCTATACAGACGCTGTCTTCCGTCGTGACGTTGCAAAAGAAAACGTGATTCATCAGAAAACCAGATTCGCCTCCAGTTTTGTAAAGTCCGTATCCTTACGTTGTTGCACCACCTGAGTCGTCGGCGTCGATGTAGGGGGCGTAGTACAGGTCCAACAACTGGTCTACAGGCACGTAAACCCGCTTCTTTCAGACGGTTCCTAATCGTTTGAGCTGACACTCTCCTCAAACCTGGTATTTGTGTGGCAGTCACGGTTGGTAGGGCATGCCGATTACGCAGGTGATGGACCCGGATGTACCGATCTTGAAGGGGGGTCGTGATTCTTGGCCTTCCACTTCTCGGGCGATCGTTGGTCAAATTGAAGTTGTTGTAGCGACTCCAAAGTCGGGATATCGTTGTTTTGTGAACATTTAGGTGCCGTGCAACAGTTCCAAAACTTTCTCCGGCTTGAACACGACCAATGGCGATATTTCGGTCGGCAGCACTCAATCGTGGCATTTTTAACACAGCTTTTCGGCGACAAATGAATGAATATAATACGGAAGCACATGGGCTTTTATACACCCCTACATTAACTGCCATTTTCATGATTTGCATGTGTTTTTTTTTGTGCGAAGTCACCATGAGGGTCATTTCATGCGTTGTGACGGAATAAGCAATAAAATACACTTATGCGTACAAATGCAGTTGTTTGGATGGTAATCTTCATTAATTACGTGTATCATTTCAATACATTCGAATAAAATTTAGTTTGGAAGCAATAACTTCATTCAAACGAATTTTTCATATCTGAGGACAGGGGTTGCGTTTCTTTTTTGACAGAGTTTATATGAGTGTGTAATCTGTCCAACAGTTTTAAAAGGATACCAGTTTGATTTGGCAGTATGATTCTGTTTCAATTTTTGTAGGCGTCAGAAACTCTTGAATAGAAGACAATTAGCCATTTATTCTTCATTCATTCTCCTTTTATTTCGGTTTGTAGGCCATCGACCCATGTACAATTCATGCAAAAAAGAGTACATTTTCGTGGAATAGGATTAACTGTACAAAGTAAATCAATTAAATGGCTAATGTTGTAACATTTGTCTATGAGCAAGAGCTTCTTTGATGTAATTAGAACAATTAACAAGGGTATATCTACAATAACTAGCTAATATATTATGATAATTAGCGACTAAATTTAACTGACTATTTACAGGAACATATCTATCTCTAATTACATTGTAACCATTACACTCAAACAGAAAATGTATAACATTTTCATTCACCCCATCTTCACACATTCTACAATACGTATCGACATTCGAACCTCATATATTACCCCGTAAAGGGAGGGAGCTTAATCTGAGAAGGCAAATATTTCTTCTAAAAGTTACTTGGTTCATGAAATTTACATAATATTCAACATTTAAAAGGGACTTAATTTCTTTAAAGTACATCAAATGAGAATATTGATTTATATTACCAGTAATATGATGTTTATCGCAATCGTTTAGTCAATTCTTAAAGCTATATATAAACTGAGAAATATCACCAATATCCTGACTGTACCAAACAAAACAAAACCAATAGGAACTTAACAAATATTTAACAGAAGTAGCCTACATTACTCTACCAGCTAAATCTATATTCCTCATAAGTAAATAAGGCTGTTTTGGATAACGATCCTCGCACATCCTCAATAATATACACCAATAACTTATACATCTGACATGATAATCAACATACAAAATTAATCTTCCGCAATCTGCTTAAACTCCATTACTAGAAACCTGCTTACCTACACCAAGAACATACTTGCAAAAGTTAGTGTGAAAGATTTCAACCGATTTCCTCTCCTCAAACCCCCAGATTTCAGATCCATATAATAACACAGGTTTAAGCTTACTATGAAACAACTTGAACATTAACTTTACAGGTATTCTTGGATAATATATAAACAACGACTTCAAAGCAAAGAGGGTCTAACTAGCTTTACCAACAAGGGTATGAATACACTTTGTCCAAGACAATCTAGTAGAAAATAGAACACGAAGATAACTGTAATATGTTGACGTCTTAACTGGAATACCGTTATAAAACCACTTCTCATGTGAACAAAGAAAACCACCATTACGAAATACTAGCACCTCCATCTTATCCATATTTACCCCTAAACCCTAAGAGCTATAATACTTATGTAATAAATCATCTTCCTCTGCAAACCTATAACAGTGTCATCAAATAAATTAAGATCATCTGCATACAACAATAACAATAAATCCATATAATCTGAACCAATAAAGATACCCCTGAGACCTGAAGTTTGTTACATACCTTGAAATTCCGTTATAACATCGCAAAAAGAAATGGAGTTAGAACACAACCTTGCCGGACACCACTCACTGATTCGAAGTAATCGCTGATCGACGAATGACTGAGACGAACAGAAGCCAAAATCATAGAATACATATTTCTTAAAACTGAATATAATCTACCCCGAATACCTTGTTTAAAAAGCGAATACCACAATAATGGCATTTATGAAGTCTCATACGGTACACTACACTTAACGAACTCAAAGTGAGTGAGTGAGTTTAGTTTTACGCCACACTCAGCAATATTCCAGCTACATGGCGGCGGTCTGTAAATAACCGAGTCTGGACCCTACAATCCAGTGACCAACAGCATGAGCATCCATCTACGCATTTGGGATACGATGATATGCGTCAACCACGTCAGCGAGCCTGACCACCCGATCCCGTTAGTCGCCTCTTCCGACAAGCATGGGTTACTGAAGATCAATTTAACCCGGATCTAACCCAAGGGTGCACCAGTAGTTAGTTATAACCGTATTTCTTTACATGCATCACGACTAAACATACAGTAAATGACCGGGAGAAGGGGAAACACTTCACTGTATCAGTCAGTTCGTTCTACGCGTGGTCGGTATGAACGTAGTTTATTGTATTTTCAAAAGGAAATCTGTTTGATTTGGCAGTATCATTTTGCTAGGTACAAAACCCTCGTTTCCATTTTTTTAAATCCTTTAAGTGTAAGGCATTAGAGCGAGCTATGATCTTTTCTTTGGTGATAACCTGTGCTGACGAACCAAGCGTCATATTGTTTCCTTCCAAGGAAGTTCCGACTTAACATCACTGAAAAAAGTCAAAGAAACAGTCAAAGAAAGATATTTATCCTGCCTCACGTAATCTCTGATTGGTCAACGTGACTTTGAACAAATTACACCGCCCACCTGGTGGATAATTTTGCGAGGGCCAATCAATGCCTTATACCCCGCGTCCACGTCAGTCGGTTCATGTCACGTGATATATTCATAGGTCATTCTTTCTCAATCAATCAGCTGTTTTCTGTCAAACTGTTTTTATTGATGACAGCTTGAAACATTCGGAAAGATAAATGCGTCATCATGTTCGTGGAGGTTAATAATCAGACCCTTGTGATAACTTATAACGTACTCCCTGCGGGTATGAAGGGGCGGTGGGGTAGCCTAGTGGTTAAAGCGTTGACTCGTCACGCCGAAGACTCGGGTTCGAATCCCCACATGGGTACAATGTGTGAAGCCCATTTCTGGTGTCCCCCTCCGTGATATTGCTGGAATATTGCTAAAAGTGGCGTAAAACCAAAATCAGTCAGTCAGTCAGCTGACGCTGACGGAATATGATATGCAGATTCGCCATAAGGCTCATAGTTTTCAAGCATTGGCTGACATCATGTTTACTCTTACATGTTTACTTGTTTACTTCAGGCGATACGAACATCAATACGAAGGTGTCTACACCATGTACAAGCACGAGACCTTTCCAATTGAGGTATGTATATGCGTATTCAACTTGACAGCTATCTCAGAGGTTGAACGTTTTATTTACTATTGTCTCTAAAGTCAAAGCATTATAGAGACAAATCTTTTTCAGGATCCACACGAAATCTCAGCCAAAGTCAGAGTCGACTGATGGTTTCTACTATATCATGTGTTTATGAATAACTATCAAATTGTGATGATACCAGGTCAGGGTTACTCGCCATACCGGTGGCACCTGTAGTAAACACATGCAACGGCTAGTCAATGTTTCTCCTAAAAAACGGGAACGGGATCTCACATGTAAAAATAGGGAATCGCATCGTATATCATGCTTGTAAAAGATGCGTCAAACTTATAAATGTCCTCCACATGTCAACCATAAAACGTTGTGAAAGCTTTACAAAGGCCTTGAATGCTAAAAGTTTCCACGCGCGTAGCAAGCCAATTTTTTTTCGTGTAAGTCCAATAGGTTGCAAAGCTGTATATTTAGATAGTATTGAAGGCTTGCCCACCTTTCATTTTCAAAATCATGTGTAAGCCCGGGCTTTTTTTGTAATGGTAGCTACGCCCCTGGTAGAGTCGTATTAAGCCCTTTGAAATCTTGGTAATAAGAGCATGTTTGATTGAACCTGAAAAGATGTTAAATGTGAACACCACAGAGGGTGGAGTAGTAAGACATGGAGGAAAATCGACCAATGGAAAGTTGAAGTGCCTCTCTTGTCATACTGCCTTGCGAAGATGACCCATAAGAATAACATGTGTAAGGTTGGCGATTAGAAAGTTGAAGATGACCTTAACATTGCTGTCGTCGTAAAAATATAACATGAAATGTCAGAATAATATTAAAATAATAAAACGTGATCCACATCGAAGAAACTGGTAAATGAGTGTAGTTTAGTATTATTACGTCACCATTGCCCTGCTGGTGTGAGAGAAATCTCCATTAACAGCTATAGATCTACGTCTCTCTGTGTTCATATTATGAGTTACCACATCGTGTCGAGGGAAATACGGGGTTTTATCAGTCCCGAGTAAGGTTGTATTCCCCTCGCCTCGCCTCGCAGATCGATGCTCATGCTGTTGATCACTGGACTGTCTGGTCCAGACTCGATTATTTACAGACCGCCGCCATATAGCTGGAATATTGCTGAGTGTGGCGTAAAACTAAACTCACTCACACAGTCAATGGTGTAATCTCAGCAAATATAAGGATGCAGTCAAACGTTCGTCTAATCAAAGCTGAAAATAGTACGCAGTTAAACGCTGGCCTAGCCATATATAGTGAACTTCTTTGAGTGGCATTTAGAAGTTGTTGTGCTGAACAACGGGGAAAGTTATATGGATATACAACTTCTTTATTATAATGTAAGCGAGGTTTTGGTCCGCCAATTTCAAACCCGTTCTGCCATCAAAATATCTATCAAAACCCATCTTTTCCGCCAAGTTTTCTTCTAACAAAAGTTAGATAATAGACAAGTTAACGACTAATTTTCTACAATATATTGTTATACTCCGCCGCCATTTTGACTGTATGTAATAATTGATTTGTATGATATGTACTTGTATACCACCATTGGTGGTCTGTTGAGAATAAAAGTAAAGTAAAGGCTTCAGCAGGACGTGGTCGCATCGGTTTTGATAAGCTGATTGGTGACACGTGTATCCAATTAACTTTTGGTAACATTTTCGTTTCCAGAGGAGGACTTGAAGCTCGTTCAATATATGAAATTATCTACCTGCATTATCATGTTTATAATTTGGTCAACTCATGTTAAAACGATTCAAATCTAATGAGAGCAATAGGTGATATTCACTGGAATGCAGACAAATAAACCCTCCTACACATCTACAAACATTTATCATGTTCACACTGGAGTGAGTCGCTCCCGTCCATCTCTATTCCCTACCAATTATGATAAACTAATCTCCTAAACTCCTCACAAGATAAAGCCCCCAGCGTACCCTGCCTCCCAGCCCTACTTTTGAACATTTAACCCCTTTTCATCTATGTAGTAGACTCCTTATTAGCTTATCAGCAACAGTTTAACTGTTCTGCACAATAAGTCACAATATTCTTTACACCACTTACTTAGTTGAACTTATACGCAATCAACTTCCCAACCTTCTTACGTCCAACTTCTCAACTCCCCATCTAAACTAAATTATTTTCAATATACAGGTGTTTTATGATATAGTGCTTTATTCCCCAAGTAATACTTTTATTACGTTTCTGTTAAACACACCTACCACGTCGGTCGATGACTTGTGGCACTGTCTCAAGTCGATAGTTGGGATATGGGGACAGACAGACATATAAGTATGTAGACAAGCCATGAAACAACAGTGATAAGGTAACAAGGGAAGCCAGTAGTTAATTAATGCTAAATTGGTAAGGTGGGTGGACAAATGGAAACCAGGGATTGTTAATCCAGGCATGAATGATGAGATAACAATGGTGGCATTTAACAAGGGAAATGACAATAAAGAAATGTAAGCCAGAAATTTATCCAGGCCTAATTAGTGATGCAACAATAATGATTATTAAGTAGTATATGCAAGGGGGGTACGAGATCAAGTCTGCACATAAGCTTCTTTTTATTCAGTGAAGCCAAGCTTCTTTTTAACCAGTAAACCCTTTGTAGGACCCTTTCTCCTACTATCCATTTCACCGACCACTTTTCATTTGCGTCCTAAATTTACTGGTCATTATGGTACTACCTGGCTACGTGGCCCTATCGTGTCATGTATGACTTCCTCAGTCACTATGACCGCGAGCCAATACTGGGTGGTCACGTGACACCATCGTGTCGTGGGGCACGATCAATACCTCTGGCTTCCTTGGTCACTGTCACTCGGTTATGTTGATATCAGCGAAGCAGTTTATCGTGAACTTCCTATGAGTTCTCTGGTCTTCGTGATGATTTGTTGTCAGCCTTGTTCTATATACTTTTTTTCTCGTCTTCACTGATGCCAGCGGTCTTCCGAGACTTGGTTCGAATCTCTTGTGTCATTCTGTGATATTTGGCAATTTCTAACATCACCAAACGAAACTCTTCCTCGGAGATTTTGTTATCAGTGAGTGCGGTGGAAATACGTGTTCAACTTTGCATCGGCTAGAACTCTGATCTCGTCATGTTTCAGCGCTTTACGTTGCAGTTTGCGTGACATGTGCTTGAGGGTCAAACCCACCAACCCTATTTCGATACACAGAACCGCAGGCGCGGCCACGATAGTGGTCAACAACCTTAAACTTGTATCCTTGTGTGGAGTTAGTGAGTTGAAAAGCGCACCCTGTGAAATAGATATATCATCAGAATCCGGAAGGTAAGATGCAAGGAAGAGACGTAAGGTACGGTGAGGGTTATGTTGATCAACCATTCGGGCTCCTAAAAGTCTGCGAGCGACACCCACTCGTACACATTGTCTTTCAAGTGTAGGACGTACAAGGTGTCTTCCTCGCCGGGTTGATCGAACCCCTCCATGTCTCCTAGATCGTTAAGCGTGACGTTGGGACGATGACTGGTCATTGCTATATTACTATCACAAGATAGTTGCCAAATGTTTTTCTAATAACTTCTCAGGGGTGCACTTCAACCCTATGATGTATATGTTGTCGGGTAGGAAGATCTTGGTGAGTGATATCGTGTCTTCGTGTTTCCAACTGTTTTTCTGATAACTTCTCAGGGGTGCACTTCAACCCCATGATGTGTATGTTGTCAGGTTGGAAGATCTTGGTGAGTGATATCGTGTCTTCCACGGTCACGGTGACCCCCTGCAGACTGGTGTGGGAGTCGACACCCACCCTCACGTAAACAGTGCAAACGTGATACTGGTGTTGTTTGGTCCACCGGATTTTAATTCCTTTCACGACTTCGACTTTGCGCTGCGATGGCTCACCGAGGTAGGTTTGGATGACCAGCGTGGAATTCGCCGGTAGACTTTCCAGGATGTTGGCCATGCCGTCGTTTTGCACCCCGGGTTTACTCGATAGCATGTGGGCTGCCATACTCGAGAGTTGGCTGATGACTACACTACGCCTCTGCATCGGAACGTAAGCTATGAGCAGGGTTCCGTTGTTCACGACTTTATTGTAGTTGTTTTTGTTCTCCGTGAACACGTAGGGGGAGCCGAGCGTGATGTTGAGAAACAAGTCAACTTGAGAGGGTAAGAACACCCACTTGTCGTCGTCGGTGAAGACGAGGGCATACTGCTTGTTTTGAGCAACAGTCATGCCCTCGACATTTTCTAGGTCTTCAGTTTGCCGCTGAACGATGGGTATACCGACCATCTATTATCACCGATGCGGACTAGGTCGAACCGAGTGTTGAGGGCCGCTCCTGAGGTATCGACGTGGGATTGTACATGGCTCCGAGCGACATGCAACTGAGAGTCAACAAAGTGGTGGGCTACAAAAACAAAATAGTCATCGCCACGGCAGACCAGAATATGGGTATCAACCCGGGTATCAACGTGAGTCACGTCCCACCTCCCATGACCGGTGAAATGGGCATAGTTGTACCACCATCCCCGGAGCCCAGGGTTCGAGCCGCACCCCCACACCCCCTTCCACCACACAAGGTGGCTGAAAACAAGGAACACCTTGATTGTAAAACAGCACTGGTGGTCGGGGGGATCGCGGTCGGCTTGGGTCTCATTTGGTTAAAAATTCCTTAGCAGCTACGTACACCAGCCCGGCCACGGCGACGATGAACGCCCACAGGTTTTGGCCAAGCCACGTGACAGTTTTCGAGAGAGGACTAAGTAACCACGAGACGATGCTACCCAGGATGCCAGGCAGGGCTTCGGAGGCCTTACCCGCGAGTTTAGCTAGGGCTTCCCCGAGTGATTTCAGATGTTTTTTTACCCAGTCTCTGGTGTTGCCACCACTTGGTGGGGTTGGGGGTGTACCTCCACCCCCTCCACCCCCCGTCAGCGATACAACAAGCGTTGATATGATGACTGAGACTGACTGACTGAGTTTTAGTTTTACGCCGCTTTTAGCAATATTCC